CTTTTTAGTTCTCCTTAATGTTATTATTATTGTGATGTTTATTCATCTTTGGGATATTACTCTCCTCTTCCACCACATCTGAAAGGTGTTCTATTGGACTGAGATCTGGCGACTATGACTATAAATAATTATTAAGAACTTTCACAGTTAAAGCACTTGACCATAGATTTAAAAGTTCACTGTTACTCTTAGTTTTTTAACTGTAACTTTACCTTTCACGTAATTATGTTTGAGTGAACAAATAACTGCAGTCGTGACACCTATAAGTAAAAATAATGAGACTTTTATAACTGTTTGCAAGCATGTGAGAAAAAGGAAGCAGCTCTCCAAATGCAAATACGTTCTTCAAAGCAGAAAGCATTTTTGTCTTTGTCTTTGTCTTTCAATGGGCATTTTCATGCTTCAGGTTTGTACCTTTGATCACATATGCTGGTGTATGACATTATAACCGAAGATAAATCACTGAAATACAACAATTGCACTCTCCCTCTGAAAACAGCAAGGTTTGCTGTTTGCTAAAATTTATTGTGAAACATTTACAAATTGTAGTTTGTGGATCAAAATCACTCACAACCTCAACTTGATCTCAAGTTAATTTTACCATTAAAATTACTGCATAAAAGCCAATTTAAAAGAATTAAAAAAAAAAAAACACCTGAAAGGCCTGTTTTAAAGTTATCTACTGTCCAGCCCAACATGCCTTGCATTGCAAAGGCAATTATTTAAGTATATGATCAAATCTTTGTTTAATGTATTTATTATTTTTAGCATATAAAATACAATCAGATAAAAGTGAAACAGATATTAGTACATAAAACGTCATACTTCTCACTTGTGTCCACAAAAACAAACGCAAATGAAAGTATATTACTAGACAAGTAGCAATATTGCAGTCATTTTGCAGATGTTTGTCAGAATTATGGTGGTTGTCTTAAAAATGTTTCTACATATATGACTTCTATTTTGTTTTTTATTGTTTTAACTTCTTAAAGATGTCACAGCACATTATACACCTGCTGCTAAAAGCTTAAAAAAACAGCATGCAAAATTCTTCATTGAGTATCCAGATGAATCATGATGTGATTTTAACTCTTTAGCTTTGATGTTTCATTTTCTCTTGTGTCACAGTGACATTTATAGTTGGGCAACCATTAGTTAGCCGTAGCTCCGAGTTTCCTAAAGTGAAGAAGTCCCACAAAAAGCAGCAGCAGAGCCACCATCATCAGAGTGAAGACATTTCGTAAGATGAGGTAAATATGACAGCTGGGCTCTGAGGAGTGGTCTGTTACAGTCGCTGTGTGATGGGATGCAGAGATGATAGAAATTACTTTGTGAGACACAGTGAACTTTCAATGTGTTAAATGCATTTTGTATAACAGTTTGGAAACAATATTCAATACACTGTTGCTGAATTGACTGACTGATTGAATATGACTGTCTCTGCTCTGGTTAAATATCCCAAAAGGTTGATTGTGTTCATCTGGACGTAGCGTTTTAAATGGGAGAAATGTTTTGTCACTCATCCAAGTGACTTCTTTCTTCTTCTGGCTAATTATGTACTATCCTCATTTTTAATATATCATATATGATATATATGACATATGATTATTTAAACAAAAGACTAATCTAGTTAAGGTGGCAGAGACAGCTAAAATCCCAGACTTATTGCTTTACAAGAGTCGTACATTAACCTTATAGTTAAAATCACAGAATCTGAGACCATCTTTAAAATATAGTCCGTGTAAATGTTTACTGTCCGCTTACATTTTTTGCACTATATAGCAATTGTTAATCAAATGTAATTATGCAGATTTTGTCACATGAATAAAAATGAATGGTTACAAAATACAATTTGACATCAGTGAACCAAGATTTTCATCCGTTTAAAGATAAATTGTTGGTAACATGGTTTTTACCATGAGTTTGTCTGACAGCATCTATAGATCTTGAATTTTTACTGTATTGATGGAATTTTTGTGTCATGTGGACATTAAACATTGCTGTTTGTCACCTGTGACACTGAGCCAGCTCTCCGGTGACTGTCCACCTCCTGAGATGTTGCACTTGTAAAGTCCCTCATCTGACTTTGAAACTCTGTGGATTATCATGTCTCCTGTGGAGCTACTGTGAACATGAGCTCCATCTTTATAAAAATTAGAGGTGAAGTTGGAGGAAGCAGTTTTGTTTCTGCAGCGAAGAGTCACAGCTTCACCCTGCATCACAGGAACAGCAGGACTCTCCAGGACCACAGATCCAGCTGAATGACAAGAATCTGAGATTTAGTTGCTGTGAAATTTATTTAAACTAAGTTTGAAACAAAATGTTGTCCCGGTGCAAACTTACCAGTAACAGTAATGTTGATGCTGTCGCTTCTGTTTGCTCCTTTAGTCTCACACCAGCGCTCTCCACTGTCGTCTGGATACACACTTTTTATTATGCACAATGATCCTGCTTTTCCCTGGTTGTTGTGACTGCATGAGTTTATTTTCCCTTTGGAATTATGCACAACTTCCCAATAAACAGCATCCTCACAGTAAAATATCACTGATTCATATTCGAAAAACTGCAATCTGTTTGGAACGATACGAAGAGAAACCGCATCTGAGAAAAAGAAAAAAAAGAAAGTTTCAGACTTGTAATAAAAGTACTGTTTGTTAAACAATGAAAAAACATCACTTGAGCAAAATTACATGTTCACTAAAAATACTTTTTTTTCCTACTATTCATACATTCATACGTTGTCTGCTCCGACAAACACAAAACCATGAACAGTGTTCAGATCAATGAGGAAACTTATGACACTCACCAACTTTTTGATCATGTGCACACAGCAGGATCATGAGAGTCATCACTGAAGAGACCAAAGAGCCACAGGTTACAAATATTCTGTTGAGTCCTACAGCTGCTGATAAATGTATTTTAACATCTTATAAGTTGTACAACAAATTTGTAAAGACAAATTAATTATTAAATCTCTGGCATTTAATAATTACTATTAGTTAATGATGGCTATAATGATTAATAAATAAGCTGAAGCTCATTTTTCATGTGGAAATAGACACTTACACAGTCTGATGCACGGAGCTGTGACATCCATGATGCTGTGCTGCTGACTGTGTGGACAACTGACAGTGAGCATGGGGGGTTCTACTGTGTGGTTTCTTTCTGCAGCTAAAGCGATGCTAAACAAAACTAGTTTTCAAAGAAGCTGCATTGCATTCAAGTTACCCACAGATCAGGACTGATGCTTTCAGTGCAACTTGCAAGTTGCACTGAAAGCATCAGTCTGTATTTTTATACATACTTTGATGTAGTAGCATGTTAACATACATTTAATAACATTAAACTCTTTATCAAAACTGAAAAAAGAAAAAAAAATGTAATATTGACTTGCTGATGGCTTCATTATTTACTGCAGATCATTTAAAAATATTATTATTAATGTTTACCGATAATTTAATTATAGATTGGAGAGCTGCCTTTTTAACAGTTAATTCTAAGCTGTTATCACGACTGCCTCACCTGCTATCACAGTTTTTCAAATATAGATTGTTAATATTTTGTAGGGAAAAAAAACAGCATTGTAACAAGTAGTATTTATCCATCAGAAGGTTGTTCACCTGTTTCTTTACTTGTAAAATTATTTGACCCAGTGAAACTCTTGACATTTTACCTGCATCTTAGCAGTTTTTCAGTCTGTTGATCCTTCTGTGGTCACCATAATCAAGATTTCATTGATGTGATGTGTAAGAAAGAGGAGGAATGCAGGCACTTACTGAGACATGAGGGAGGTTTATTGTAAATAACAGAAAACAAGGCAGGGATGGCAAAAACAGAACTAAAGATAACCTGAACTGAGAAAAACTAAAACTAAACAGCAAACCTGGAGTAAATATCACTAAAGAGCTCTCTAAAATATATCATGTAAATTTTAAACCTTTGTGTTATAAAATAAATGAGGATATTAAAAGATGGAACTTAATACATATTTTTAAATTTCAAAATGAATATTTTGCCCAGGATGCGTTATCTGTTCCTAACACTCCCAGTTGAAATAACTGATAAACAATTTCAGGAGTGGGATAAAATAATCTCTAGGTTCATATGGCAGGGGAAAAGACCACGGATTAAGTACCAAACTATCCAGTTGGCTAAAGATAAAGAGGGGTTGGGGTTCCCATGTTTGAAAGATTGCTATATTTCAGCTCAACTGAGGATCCTAGCGTGTTGGTGCAATGTAGAGTACCAAGCAAGATGGAAAGAAATAGAAACAGTTGTCTCAAGAGATTTTCCGATTCAGGCAAGCTTAGGGGACGTGACACTTATTAAAAAACAAATTAATCAAGGAAACCAATGGATTAACTTGCCTTTAAAACTCTGGTTACAATTTCTTAATAAGAATGATTGGAATGAAAAGGCCAGGATCTTAAGATGGTTATGATCTTGATTTTTTTACCCAATAAGTTAGACCAGGGGTGTCGAACTCCAGGCCTCGAGGGCCGGTGCACTGCAAGTTTTAGATCTCACCCTGGGTCAACACACCTGAATCAAATGATTATTTCATTACCAGTCTCTGGAGAACTTCAAGACATGTTGAGGAGGTCATTTAGCCATTTCAATCAGCTGTGTTGGATCAAGGACACATCTAAAACCTGCAGGACACCGGCCCTCGAGGCCTGGAGTTTGACACCTGTGAGTTAGACGAACATATAAAAAATGGGCAGGGCAAGGCTTAATGGCATATTGTATGTTTTATGATAAGGGAACTCTTAGGGACTTCAAATCAGTAAAAGATCAATACCAATACGGATTTTTTCAGGTTTCTTCAAATCAGGCATTATCTACATAACTTTATACCTAAGAGAACAGATCTTTTCTCTCTTCCCATTTTGAATATATTTGTCAAGGCTTACCATGTAGATCCTGGCCTCAAGGTGATTTCTAGATTGTACAAGGGTTTACAAGAGGTTAAGAAGTTGAACACTATCTACATTAAACAAAAATGGGAAAGGGAAACAAATATAGCAATTTCAAATGATATCTTGTATCAGCAGTGTGCCTTTCAGTGGAAAATTTCTAATATATGGAGATGTTTTGGTTGGAAGAGTCTCTGTAGGTTTGTTATTACACCTGCACAAAGTAAACACTACTCTAATCACTCTAGCTGCTGCAGAAACTGTGGGGCCCAAGGAATAAAACACTTCCACTTGTTTTGGTCTTGCCCATTGATCAACACTTGTTGGGAGTTATATTTGACAGTAATATTACCTTTGAAAAACATATTAGCTCAGTTGTACAGCGGTCCTTTTTCAGACTGAAGCTTTTATCTAAGGTGAAATCATTTTTATCTTTGAACATGCTTTGACCATATTTTTCGCACTATAAGGCACACTTAAAATACTTTAATTTTATCAAAAATGGACAGTCCACCTTATGTATGAATTCTGGTTGTGGTTACTAACTGATTTTATATGGTACCTACTGCTCAAAAATCTGTCAAAAATGTTTTAGTACGACTTTGGTAAGCTACATGGTAGTCGTAATATACTGCAACAATATGGAAATAGAGCAGCTGCGAGAGAATTCAACATTAATGAATCAATGGTACTGAAGAAGAGGAAGCAAGAAGAATGACTTGAGTAAAGTTCGGCTTATTTGACTATTTTGTTTTGCTTAATGTGCCTTATGGTCCGAAAAATATGGTATTATATCCCAGTTAGACAATTGTAACCCCTTGTCATGGTACTGAGTCTTTGACTCAGTGGTTTTTGGTTTCGGTTATTATTATCTTATGTTTCAGGTTAATTCTTGTTTACATGTTCTTTGCGGCAGGGTTTTAGTTATATTTTTGAGCTCCTTCTGTTCTGTGTCTCTGTGCCTGGCCTGGTCCCATGTCTCTGTGTTTCCCCCGAGTCCGTGTCTGTAAGTTCAGTCTGTGCATTTCCTGTTTTACTTTGAAGGTCCATGTCTCAGGTTAATGTATTCTGCTTTGTTTCCCTCGGTCTCTGTGTCTTTACTGTCTTTTGTATTTAAGGCCCTGTGTTCTCCGTGCTTAGTGTCGTGTCGTGTCGTCACTGTCTCATCCCTGGAGCTGTGTGATTTTCCCCGTGTTTCCTCGTGTCTCAGTTTATCATTCCCTAGTTTAGTGTGATATTCTGTTTCGCCGTTAGGCCTGCAATAAAGCAGTGTTTTTTGCTTTTAGTTATCTTTCCGTGAGTCTGCACTTGGTTCTTTTCTTGCCTCCACATAGCAATTCCATGACACTCTTTATATGTTGGAGTTAGTCAGACCTGCCTTGCAAGACTGCAGTTGGTCCAGAATGCTCGTCTTCTGACACAAACTAAAAGTTGTTAAAAAATGCAATTTTTATTTGCTTTTAGAACAAAGAGAAACTGTGTGTGAAAACGTATAAGTAAGCAAACAGACAGACCCCAAAATAAGCAGAATCAGTCAGAAAACTGTCAGTAAACAAAACACACCAATTAAGATTTCTAGTTGGAAGTGATAAAATTGATTGGGCAGAACAATCTCTTGTCTTTACTTTAGAGGACAATTTAAAGAGGAAAATGAAATCACATATAATTGAAATTTTGCCACATGCCCACAGGTACGGGAGTTTTAGAGTTTAATAAGGCTGCAGCACGTTGCAATACCAAGAGTAACCACTAGATTGCAGCAGTGGAAAGGTTTTCCCTTCATTACATAATAATGCGTGCTCTTCCACAGATTATCAGTCATCACCAAAAGCGCTAAAGAAACTGCATTAGTATTGTATTCAATGTTCATATTTATAATACTCAACCAATGCTGGTGTATCAGTACAGCCATAACTGTTTACATAAACTCTTCACATGTTTACTTCACCCCAATTCCAATTGATATACACACCAAAGAAAAGAGTTAAAAATTAATCAGTGTCATGTCAGCCTCTACCTCACATGAACTGCTGCTAAGCTTTGCTGTTTAAAACATATTTCTTGCATTTGAAGCATGTATAATGTATATTGTTACTTGGCCCTGGGACACATGTGTTGAATCTTTTTCTCTTTTCTATTTCAAAGCAGGAGATTAAGTGGTGATCAGCCTGACAGTAAGATAAGGCTTTGTTCTTAATGGCCAATATTGAGATTCCCCTGTCTCATCATGCTTTGCAGGCTTAGTATTTAAGTATTTATTCTATACAAGTTAATTTTGAAAACAACTCCTGGAGGTTTTACTTAGTTCAGTGCCAACAGTCACTGATGGCAGAGAAAGTTCAGGCTTTAACTCATCTGGTTCAGGTATGCAATGCAATGCATAATCTAGGAAGAATACTACAGATAAATTAAGTCATAAATAATACAAAATAAATAATTAATGTGATGAAGCTATGGCTTCGCATGCCTCAGCATATGTCTGAATGCCTGCCTTACCAGTTTGTACTTCTGGGTGGGTGTGGTTCAGGTGGTAGAGCAGCTCAGCTACTGACTGGAAGGTTGGTGGTTCGGTCCTTGGCTTCCCCAGACTGCATGCCAAGTATCCTCGGGCAAGATACTAACCCCAAGTTGCTCTCAGTCCATCAGAGTGTGAATACTTAGATTGCACTTAAGTATAGAAGGAAGTGTTTGTGTGAATGGGTGAATGAGGCATGTTGTATACAGTGCTTTGAATACTCAGAGAGCGTAGAAAACCACTATATAAGAACCAGTCCATTTACCATTTCGGTACAGCCTAAGGCTGGCACATTGTTAAAATCCATATTGCACTTCATCATGAAGCATGTTGAAAGTTTTTATCCTTAAACTGATATTTGGCCTATTAATTATAAGCTTACTATAAATATTGAAGCAGAAAACAGCTGAACACCACCTCTCAGCATCTTAATCATATCTACTTCTCA